TTGGGCACTGGTCACTAAAATTTAATACCATTTCGCGTCACAATAATTAATCCTATTTCATAGTGTCACTATAGTTCCCACCTCGGCACTTTCCAATAACTGCAGTTAACACCTTGGAACTTTACTGTGACTACAGTTAACACGTTAGCACTCGAAAACACTTTAGTTCTATCTTGGTACTCAATATCACTGCAGGTAACAGCTTTATACTCTATGGTCACTATAATTACACACTAGAATTTTACAGCACTATAATTAACACCTTAACATTCTAGTTAATATTTTAGCACTTTAATTGTATTTTAACACAGTGGCACTTTAATCAATACTGGTAACAGTTTAGCACTCTAGCGACTTAGATAAACCATTAAAATTCTACAATGACACGGTTATCACTCTAGGAAACTAGTGTAAAGACCGTCCTTAGTCATTATAGTTGCCACCTTATTACTCTACAATATTTTAGTTAACACCTTTTTACTATAACGCCACTGTAGGTAACACATTGGCACTCTACAGTTACACTATGTCACTGTAACACATTGGCACTACAGTTATACTATAATATCACTGTAGTTAACACTGGCACTCTACTGCTACATCGTCACTGTAGCTAACACACTGGCGCTCTACTGCTACAATATGTCACTGTAGCTAACACTGGTACTCAACTTCTACATTATGTCACTGTAGCTAACACACTGGCACTCTACTGATACATTATAATGTCACTGTAGCTAACACACTGGCACTCTACTGATACATTATGTCACTGTAGCTAACACACTGGCACTCTACTGATACATTATAATGTCACTGTAGTTAACATACTGGCACTCTACTCTCGTACTTGTCTGTTGCATCATCATCCCACACAATACTGCAGTGTAACTCACTATCAACAGGTCAAGAGGTCACTATAGTCAGTTACCATCATCCAATGAATAATACTGCAGTTCACACTATCTTTACATTTACTTTCTCTAGTTACACCACTTTCACACTCAGTGCCACCATAACTATCATCACTGGCACTCAGTGTCACTATAGCGATCACTAACAGTGCCGATATAGTTATCAGTAACAAAAAATACCACTATAGTTAACATCACTAACACTTTATGTCACTAAACATAATTAACACACGCAGTGACAGTATCCTATTAACAGTGCCACTATAGTTGACGTTACATACACTATAACGTCACTAAACGTGGTCGGCAGCCGCATCCTTCCTGAACACTAGAGCCGGAGATCCTGCTTCACCCAATGCCACACGCTCCCTGGTGCCACACGTTCCCTGGTGCCACACGTTCCCTGGTGCCACACGTTCCCTGGTGCCACACGTTCCCTAGTGCCACACGTTCCCTGGTGCCACACGTTTCCTGGTGCCACACGTTCCCTGGTGCCACACGTTCCCTGGTGCCACACGTTCCCTGGTGCCACACGTTTCCTGGTGCCACACGTTCCCTGGTGCCACACGTTCCCTGATGCCACACGTTCCCTGGTGCCACACGTTTCCTGGTGCCACACGTTCCCTGGTGCCACACGTTCCCTGGTGCCACACACTGGTACCACTGTTACTGGTGCCACAATCACCCTGGTGCCACAGCAATTAGCAAGCAATACGGCTTCGCTCCCCAGTATTCCAAGTTAGCATAACATACTTTCTAGGCTGTGAGAAATAACAGCAGGGCCACAGGGGAATCACCATGGCCACAGGGGCATCACAAGGGCCACAGGGCATCACCAGGACAACTGTGCCTAGTTCGTCTGCGCCAGAACTTAACGAATTCACTTCTGGCGTTAGTATACCACTGCTCCTGCCAGGTATCTCGCGGCAGCCATTGTGAGAGCCGCATGCAAACTCTGATATACACTTTGCAAACGGAAAAGAGGGAAGAAAAAGATTTTAGATATGAGCATGTAGGTGAACTTACTTGTGTGGGAGAGTAGTAGCAGAAATGGTGGTTGTCACGCTGGTCTTGATGCACACATATAAGAAAGCACACTGGCTGAGTCTGGTCACACAGGTGTGGAGTACGTACTAAAAGTTTCCACACTGCGTAAGTCTGGTCACACGGGTGTTGCGTACGCACAAACACAAGGCTCTTCACTGAGTATAATCACTATGCAAGTCTCAGGCTGCGCAAATCTTGAGGTACGAGATGCTGAGAGAGATAAAGTCTTTGGTTCTCTGCCTGACTGGATATATGAGATCAAACGGTTTGAATAAATTAGTGAATAAATATATAAAAATAAACTTAATGAGATTCGAGTAGAGACTAGAGTAGGTATGGCTGGGTTGGCCGGGAGGTTGATGAGTATAATGGAGGTAGTGGTGGTGGTGTTGTGATGGTGGCGACCTCCCAGCACTGCGGCAACACGACTGCTACGCTGGAGGCGCTCTCACTGACTGAGCCCTCACTGCCAGGCACCCAGCGAGGGGACACCCAGCGAGGGGAGGAGCTGCCTGCTCCCGCTGAGTCACGACTTCCCCGGAGCCCCATACCCCCGCCATCCCCTCACATACCCCCCACGTCCCTCTCCGGGGTACTGAGGCGAGGGGAGGGCATTAACTGAGGGAAGAGGGGAAGGGGAATGGGACAGCAGCAGGGGAGGGCCGGAAGGAGGGAGGGTAAGGAAGGCAGGGTCTGGTATGTACAGTAAGTGCCACCATAATGCCCGGCCAGATAACTAGCTCCACTCCTCTCCCTGCATCTTCCCAGCATCCCCTGCCCAGCAACTCCCCAGCATCCCTTGCCCACCACCCCCTGCCCAGCACTCACCCCAAGAACTACCCCCCCTCTCCAAAACCTTCCGCACAGTAACATATCCAAGGTAAAATTAGTCATTTTACTAAAAACACATTTGTTCAACTTTATAGACCTCAACTCAATCCCCCAGATTATATATATATATATATATATATATATATATATATATATATATATAAAATATAAAATATAAAATATATATATATTATATACATACACGTGTGTGTGTGTGTGTGTGTGTGTGTGTGTGTGTGTGTGTGTGTGTGTGTGTGTGTGTGTGTGTGTGTGTGTGTGCGTGTGTGTGTGTGTGTGTGTGTGTGTGTGCACCGCTGATATGAGAGGGAGACACTAGCAGCCTTCTATAACCCAGGAGTTACGGATCTACAAGGTCAAACAGACTGGCTGTTATCACAGTGCCGATCGAGCAGGCACTAACCCACACTCACAGTGCCGAGCGGGCAGGCGAGCAGGCACTAATCCGCACTCACAGTGCCGAGCGGGCGAGCGAGCAGGCACTAACCTGCACTCACAGTGCCGAGCGGGCGAGCGAGCAGGCACTAACCCACACTCACAGTGCCGAGCGGACGGGAGAGCAGGCACTAACCCACACACACACAGTGCCAAGCTTCAGCATCCATGTTGTGGAATTTACGTTACCCACGGCACTGGCCACATCCAAGTACCTTCATCTCATTCCTTTGCTCTCTCTCTCTCTCTCTCTCTCTCTCTCTCTCTCTCTCTCTCTCTCTCTCTCTCCCAGGAACATGGTTTTCTGATTCAAGTAACTGGAGCCTTCCTGTCTTCCTTTGCATCACCTTATTAATCCAGGTTCCGCCAGGTGATGCATGACCCGTACGGATTTAGTTCTTCCTAATGAATATAATAATCGTCACATGACGACCCTTTCACTGAGGACACCGGACCAGCAGGTGGTTTAAATCCCTAGTGAGGGGAGACACTTTCGCCGACACGCTCATCTCTGAGGATGGCAGTCCCCGCTTGTTCCTGTCTGGCTTGGGGCCAAACTTCCCTGTTGATCGCATGATCAGTCACGTTATTGCTACCCGCAGCGCGCAGGCCTACATACTCATCACAACTTGACTGATCAGGCGCCAGATGCCTCAACTGCTCCAGTTTCCTCTCGAAGAGTTCTACGCTTACCTGGAGGTTACCTGGAGGTTATTCCGGGGATCAACGCCCCCGCGGCCCGGTCCATGACCAGGCCTCCCGATGGATCAGGGCCTGATCAACTAGGCTGTTACTGCTGGCCGCACGCAGTCCAACGTACGAGCCACAGCCCGGCTGATCCGGCACTGACTTTAGGTATCTGTCCAGCTCTCTCTTGAAGGCAGCCAGGGGTTTATTGGCAATTCCCCTAATGCTTGATGGGAGGCTGTTGAACTGTGTTGGGCCCCGGACACTTATGGTGTTTTCCCTTAGTGTACCAATGGCGCCCCTACTTTTTATTGGGGGCATTTTGCATCGCCTGCCCAGTCTTTTACTTTCGTAGGGAGTGATTTCTGTGTGCAGATTTGGGACCATTCCTTCCAAGATTTTCCAAGTGTAGATTATGATATATCTCTCCCTCCTGCGTTCCAACGAGTACAAGTCAAGTGCTTCCAGGCGTTCCCAGTAGTTAAGGTGCTTGACAGAACTTATACGTGCAGTAAAGGATCTCTGCCGGCAATATTTCCTACAACTTGAGAGAGAATGGTTTTCATCGTACTCAAGTCATATATGTGGGCGAAACGTTAATAAAGTAACGCACTACGTTGTCATTATATTGTATCTGTCTCTTGATACATCGTGTCTGTACACCATTTCTCTCATTTATATTGTATCTGATGGTATGAGGTTGAAGAGTCTTGGACCACGGATGTTGACACAATGCTCTCTTATCGCGCTCCTGCTTTTCACTGTGCTCAATCTGCGTTTACTCTCGCATGATCCTCCCGAAGGTGTCAAGATTCAGCTCCTGGGCTTCTTGAGTGTAGTGAAGTACAGCTCCTACGCGTCTTCCAGACCTTACCTCATCAAAAGTAAGGGAAGATGATTTTAAGATAATCGCAGACGTGAGATTGTGTGAATTTTAACACAGAACAAAAAGGCACAATACTGTGACTGGAACAATACACGAATAACCCGCACATTGGAGAGAGAAACTTATAACGACGTTACGTACAATTTTCATATAGTGAATTCGCAAAATATTGACACACTGATGCCAAACTTTGTGGCAACATTTGTGTCCTCTACTCCGCTTAATGCTTCCACGCATGGTTGTATATCTACAGTAAACCCTCTTATAAAGCTCCTTTATGTACTACAATTATTTTGCAAATGCAAAAACTGCATTCAAAATTGAACAGCATGCGAAAAGGCCGTTATAGTAGATACTGAAGAAAGACACATGCTATTCAATTCCACTTTTTCAACCAACAAAAAAAATCATTATATACAATAGCTTTATAAAACAGTTAACTCCAAATTTGTAATTAATATCAATAGTTGTAACAACATTAATAAGAATACCTACTGACAGTATTAATAACTTTACACTCACAGTGTTAATTACACCCACGGTGTTAATTTATACCCACTGTTTAGATAATCTCCGGCGTTGAATGACCCCGCACGGGTTTACAGCCTAACATCGTCCTCCGTCCTTGAGCCTCTCCCCCCCAACACACACACACACACACACACACACACACACAACGTAGGTTCACTCTGTGCTAGGACTGAGTGCTTGGCTACAGTCTTAACATCAGTATTACATTCATACATCCAGACATCAATTTTTTTTTATCAATTACATGAGATAGAAGGAGTAAATAGCCCCTTGCTCCCTCCCGCCTTTTATTCTCTTACGACACATCCTATTGCTGGATAAAGATTCAACACGGCAGGTCAACAAGACAACTCATACGGCAGCTTCAACACAGAAGCTTTAATTAGACAGCTTCAACATGGCACGTCAACCCGAGAGCTCCTCCGGAAGCATCAACACGGCAGGTCAAAATGACAGCTCATACGGTAGGTCAACACGACAACTCATACGGGAGCTTCAACACGACAGCTTGCATGAATCAACCACCAAAACAAAAGGTGATTCGTTTCAAATATTCAGTTCCGGGAACACTGCTGAAACCATTCCTAATTTGCAGCCGATTTGTGGAAAACAATCGTTCCTGTCTAAACATCTTATATTTTATGTGTTCCTGTGAAATTACCTGTCACGAAGGTTGAAATGTAACAACCAATTAAGAATTGCGCGGAGATGTATCACGCCTAGGAGCTGCTATAGTGCCAGATACTTCCCTAACATGGCAATACTGTGGATGTTACACTAATACTAATGATACACTGTTTTCTTGATGTTATACGTCACTTGTTTCCTAAGCTTGTACATACCCAAGAAATACTCTTTAGTTCATAAGGTATGGTGTGTAATGTGTCGAAACCAGCAGCAGCATGTTGTGAAGGTTAACACAACGAGATACATACGGCAAGGGGCCCTCAACACAAGGTTTGTATCATATCTACAGTGTATGTATGGTAAGGGAGCATTAATACCACAAGTGGGACGATTGCCTTACTACACCATTACACCACACCTTCACCACACCACAACCAACTTTCCACTACACCACAACCACCTCTCCACCACACCTCACCAGCTGAGTCGATGGTGAGGAGGTGCTAGGCATTAGTACCCTCCCCCCCCCCTTCCTCAAAGCCGCACCTCCTGGACCCATCTCTAATAACACACTGTTTACCCCACACACATCAGGTTTCCAGCCTAGTCGCTTTTACCACCAATCTATCAAGATGGTATATGGTGTGTTTCAAGATGACCCGTCGACATCACTATTAAGATGGTATATAGTGTGTCTCACTATCAAGATGGTGTATGTTGTAATTCAAGATCACCTGTCTCACTATCAAGATGGTGTACTGTCTTTTCCAAGATCACTTATCTCAGTTCTTCAGTCTTGGCTCACTACCTCTTAGGAATCCTCCTCCCTTATGGCAGTGTGCAGATTTGGTACACTGCCCTCAAGTAATTTCCACATATATTATCATGTGTCGTACCTCCCTCTCTTCCGCTCCAGCCAGTATATGTTTAGGACTTTGAGGCATTCCCTGGACGAGGCCGTCAACACTGAACAACGGTACAAACGAGAGAGCACAAGCGATTCGAATAGTGTCATCATTAGCACTATTTTTCTTGTTTTGAAAGTTCTCATTATCCACCCGGTCATTTTCCTGGTTATCGTGACATTTGCCTTATTGTGTTCTCTGAAAGAAAGATTAGCCGACATAATTACTCTCATATCATTCAAGTGTTCCTTTTGTGTTATCTGATCATCCTTTTGGGTTTTGTATACAGTAACTCTTTTGAATTCTTCATTCTCTCCATATCTAAGTAGCTGGAACTTATCAGTACTGAGCGTCATGTTCTCCACTGCCCACTGGAAAACCCTCTTTATATTTCCCTGCAATTTTCCAGTCCCTACTACTTCTACACTGACACCTGAGCACGAGTCAAGCACCACACTGACGCCTGTGCACGGGTCAAGCACTACACTGACGCCTGTGCACGGGTCAAGCACTACACTGACGCCTGTGCACGGGTCAAGCACTACACTGACGCCTGAG